ATCTATGCAGAAATAGAAGTATAATGATGTACACCTGAAATTTATACAATGTTATAAACCAATGTTACTGCAATAAACAAAAAATTTAAAAAATAAATAAAAATAAAAAAATAAAAAGTCTTAAGTTTTGGAAATTTCTTGATATAGCTGCAAAAAGTCAGATCTCATTCTCTTCTTAGCAAAGGAGTGGTAATTGTTGATTATTTCACATTCAACACTGTGCTTGACTTTTTACTGATGAATTCTAATATGAGTAACTCATTACTTGAAACATGGCAGGTTTTTTTTCCCCTACATTCTAAATTTGGCCATCAATGAAACTTCACTTTCCTTTATTGGTTAGTTTGGGAACCAAAGAACAGATAAATCCAATTAAGTAAATTTTTGTCTCTTTAAGGAGATACGCTCTTTTGAAAAGAATGTTACTATGGCATGTAAGAGCCTAAACCCAGAAAATGTGTTTGGATTTTGAAAAAGAATTGATTGTTAGAATATAATTAAAATAATCCTAAAAAGAATATAATTAAAATAATCCTAAAATGAATTAAAGTCATTTTAAGAAACACTGTTAGGCTACTTTAGTGGTCAAACACTGACCTTTGCATTAATTATTGATTTTGATCTTTTAACCAAAATATCTTCAACTGTTTTTTTTCTTCTTTTTAGATTACTCGAGTGGATGGGAAGAAGTTGCTTCTTTATAGGGAGCAGCTTGTAAAGATTCTCCAAAGAACCCTACATTTAACCTGTAAGCAGGGTTACACTCTGTCTTGTAACCTTTTGCATCACCTCCTTCGTTCTACCACACTTATCTACCCTACAGAGTACTGCAGTGTGCCAGGTGGCTTTGACAAGCCTCCTTCTGAATACTTTCCTATCAAGGCAAGCATTTTCAATATTTTAGGATTCAGGGATATATTGGGTTATTTTTCTAAGGGATTCAAAGCTTGGATTTTTTTTCTTGTACATAAAGGTGTCACTTCTTTATTTATGAAGTAGATTATTAAAACTATTATTGGAGGGGCCAGCCCCATGGGGTAGCAGTTAAGTTCTCGAGCTCCCCTGCTGGCGGCCCGGGTTCATATCACGGGCATGCACTGACACACCGCTTGTCAGGCCATGCTGTGGTGGCGTCCCATATAAAGTAGAGGAAGATGGGCACGGATGTTAGCCCAGGGCCAGTCTTCCTCAGCCAAAAAAGAGGAGGATTGGTATGGATATTAGCTCAGGGCTGATCGTCCTCACAAAAAAAATAGAAAAAAAAAAAAAAAAAAACTATTATTGGAATGTTTTAAACCTGGAAAGTGCAACATAGTGCTGGAGCTAACTAGTTTTCTTCTTTTGTGTTTGTATGTGAAATTATTTGGTATGCCATATCTAACTGCCACAGTTCTATATAATTTTATTGGGGAATTCAGTAGCCTCACATAAGCTTACTGTTACTTTTAACAGTAAACTCGTATTTGAATGGCTCTTCAGGGAGACCTTTTCCAGGAGTGATAATGAAGGGGTAATATGATGTTTTCATGTCATTATATGTATATGTTCTTATTTCTATTGTTCAACTTGCTGAACAAACGCTGTTCTTTTCTAGGACTGGGGTAAACCAGGGGACTTGTGGAATCTGGGAATCCAATGGCATGTTCCTTCTTCTGAAGAAGTGGCTTTTGCCTTCTATCTTTTGGACTCCTTCCTTCGGCCTGAGCTCGTCAAACTCCAGCAATGTGGGGATGGAGAACTTGAAATGTCTAGGTTAGTTTTCCTTTACAGTCAGTTATTGTTGTATGTTGGCAGGCTAAATCTTTTTGTGTCTTTTTTTCTCTCTCTGTCTATGGCATATCTGATGTGTTAATTTTCAGTGTGTTTTGAATATCTGCCATAAATGTAATTAGAAAATCATTTAATATAGCCTTATATAACAAATTTTGTCATATTTATAATTAAATGTTTAAAATTTAAAATATTTAAACATTTTAATTAAATGTTTAAAATATTTAAACATTTTAAGTAGAAAAGCTCTAGTTTGTTTTTAGTGCCTTCTCCTTAGCAGTTTCACTTGTGCATCTTTTGGGAAATGTGTGTAGATGTGCCCCCTTTGAAAGGAAATGCTTGTTTTTCTAGATCCAGCTTGCATTTTATTGGGTTGTTTCTTTTTAGTAATTCATATTATTGACTAATTTAATGTTACTTAGAGAAATCTCTGTGGGAGATTATTTTTTTCTCTCCCAAGTGACTTTAACAATAAATAATTATTTGAGACCATTAGACTTTCATAGTTTGAATCTTTGATAGTTCCTAAAATATAGTAGTAAGAAAATTATTATGTGCCAAATACCAGGAAATTTTAATAAGCAAATTCAGTAGGAAATGCCTTGGAGGAGGAAGAAGTATGATTGACTTATGTCACCTATATAGTACTCTGAACTGCTTTTTGGAGTAAATGTTTAGCTAGTCGATTTTTAAAAGATGGAAGATCCTCTGTAATGCTGTTTTTCATTTTTGTTAGTGGTAGTGATCTTTGGGTAAACAGGTGATTAAATTCAGAATTGCTTCACCAAGGGCAATCGGTTGTTGTTGCTTGTGATTATTTAGAGCCTGTTTAAATGTAAGCAGGTCTAGTATTACCAGTAAATATGTTTAATTACCTTGTAGTATTGTTACTGAACCAAGTGAGCTCACCTCCTGGTGAGTTAAGACTCTACACCAGTGAAAGTTGTCTCACAAAGTAAAGTGTATTTGCAGCAGATAGGAGGCCATGAGGAATCATTTCCAAAGTCATGGCATCCCTGAACAAAGGGAAGCAGGAACTTTTATTTCGGTTGAGGAATGAATATTCAAAAGGGAGAGGTGGGTATTCACTTGCACAGGCTCAGTTGGAGAACGTGCTTGCACATAATGAGGCCTAAGCTCCTCCTGGAAAGATCTTTGCATTAAAAATAAGGCAAAGGTCATGGGCATAGTTCTTGTGGTAAGGCTTGGTCAGTTTCAGGATGACTGGTAGTTACATCTTCTTAATATACAAAAGGAAAAGAAACAACTTGGGAAAACAGTTAATTGCTTCCAAACCCACCTTTGAGTTTCACGGGGCACCTAATCGGTGACACTATTAAGTGGGTAAACTGAAGACATTTGCCATTTCTTTGCCTTAGTTTTTTATATCCCCACTTGATAAAATTTTTGTATTTCACCCTGGACTGTAGAAGGCTTTCTGTTAAATAGGGATTTGGAGTCTTCTAAAATATGAAAACACCTTTTATCTTTTCTAGAGATGATGTTCTGCAGAGTCTCACTATAGTGCACAACTGTTTAATTGGCTCAGGAAACCTCCTACCTCCACTGAAAGGAGAGCCGGTTACTAACTTGTAAGTAAAAATAACTACTTTACATATTTTGCTGATTTGTCATTTGGCATTTTAAGTCTTAGTCGCATAATGAGTCACTGGTTTTGCTATTGGTGTTGTTTCTGTATCACTTTAACCTTTTTGTCATTGTTAGGCCAAAAATACCTGAAGCACAATTTAGGTCTATAAACTCTAAGGTTTTATTCAGATTTTCATATGGTACCAGGGTAGAATAACTTTCAGTGTTAAGCAGATTAAACATATCAACTTGGAGATATTAAGTTCATCTGTTAGTTTACTGTGTTAATTAAGATAAATACTCTTCTTTAAAAAGGAAAGAAAAGTACTTTTTTTGGGTCAGCAGTCAATCTTAAGGATTTTGTAGCAAAAAAACTTTGGTGTTTTTTAGTAAAAATTGTTGAATGCTATTCATTACAATTTTGAACTTTTTAGATCTACCAAGTGCTTTTATGAATTTAAGTGCTTTTCAGAGTGTTATTATTTTGATCGAATGTCTTGATTTTAGTCCAGTGTTAGTGCTACCATTTAAGTTGAAAAAAATTGAGTTTAAAGGAAATCAGCAGTATGTAACTTTAGCTCAGTTATTAAGTAGGTAGATGCTAGTTTCAGTATACCATCTTAGGTCATTTTCTCTCAACATCGACATCTTGTTGCTGAGCAAGTTAATGAAAATCACATAAAAATGAGTAAGTAACCCCGTCCCCTCAAAAAACACCAAGGGGAGAATTATTTGTTGATTTTGCAGCAAAAATCTTAAGAACCTTCAAGCAGTGGTTTTAAAATGTAGATTGTCTTTCCCATATTTTGTATAATCATTGTTTGGCGTCATACTTTTTCGAAATTCCCACTTTATTTCACTCAAAAAACTGTTTCTAGGCATTGAACTTTAGATTGCTCATTAGATGGAAGAGGGAGAAGTAGGGTCATTTCAGGTAAAGAAATCTGTTTTAAGCTTGCATAGGAATTGGCTGGATTCTTTTAAGGAACTTTTTTCTTTTTATCACTTTTATAGTCTGATATAATTATGAGCAATTTTACCAAAATTCATTTTTGTTGAGATTACTTTTAAATAATATTTTAAAATGATATACCTACAGAAATGGTTTTGATTTTCCTCATGATCTTAACAGTGTGTAATATAGTAAGAACTTAACTCTTTTATGGCATGCTAAGAAGCTATTGCATACATAACAAATTTATTACATCAGTAAGTCCAGGTGTGCTTGAATGTGTTGACAATTGAGAAGTGTGGTCATTTAATGCAATAATTTATTTAAGAGGAAAAGCATGTCTCTTCCATGTATATGATTAGACTTTTAGTGTTAAGTGATCATTAGGATGTACTGAAGGGTCAGCTCAGGAGGCTTAGAGGTTTCAGTTGCAGTTCGTATCAGCATGTAGCCGTATTCATGCTGTGTGCGTATTATAGTAAATAGTGAATTGAAGCAAAGCCTCTATCCTTTGAAATAAATGTGCATCAGGACAAAAGTCCCATGTATTTAGTTGTTATAAAGACAATTAGGTTTGTATATAATGAAATGCATTTTCCATAAGGAAAAGAATACCATGTTATAAGAATTTTATGAATGCCATGGAATATAAATAGATAGTTAGCCTACATTCTATACATTATAAGCTATAAAATTGATCCTGAGTATCCTTTATAGGTCTTTCCCAGAAAAGTTGAGAAGGAAAGATAATTTAGACTGAAAAGTTTTGTTTTTGGATTTTCACTTTTAGAGTAAAAATTTAATAAAACAAAATGAAGTGATACAAAATTATATTTAATGTAGATATATAATGTTTACATATTTTAAAGTGTAAATATAAAATGTTTTCTTGCATATTTAATAATACGTAATAATAAAATATAAAAATGGAAAACTTCAGTTGTTTTAATCATTGAACAACACACATGTTTAGGGTTCTTTATAGTTATGTATATCTATGCAGCATAATAATTATACAAAGTAGAAGTAAAGATGAATGAGAAGCCCTTTGCCTTTGAATTGCCCAAAAGAGGGAATTTATAAAGTCTTGCCTGGGCTTTTAAATAGGTCTTAACAGAATCCTTTCCATTAAAACCAGTTTCTAACTGGTATCACCTTCATCTGCCATTTTAATTTATTTTGGCAATGTGTGACTTTTTAACATTTATTTTCTTTATGTAACATTTCGACTTTTTTGCAGATAGTAAATTAGTTGTCACTAAAGTATCCTAAAGTAAAGTTAGCCTTTTAAATTTCTAAAATGCGTATTCTAGTATAGGTCAATAATTGTTAAAATCTTCTAAATGTAAACTGATTTGAAAAAACTAATCGAATAATTGCACTTGATAGTGCCATTGTTCTGTGATATTAAATCACACTGCCTCGTAAAGAAAGAATATCTGTAGCATAATTTTTGGAGATTACGATCAGCAGGTCAATTTGAAACTAGTAGATGAAAAGAAAACTCTATACTTTGAACATTAATTGCTTCATAAGGAAATAGAGAAAAATTTACCGGGTGGGGGAGAAAAAGAAACATGTAATTGTGACAAATGCTTTAGTGTAATGCCGAAGATGCCTGAGGAAGTCACTTGTTAATAACAATTTGGCTATGGTACTATGGGACATTATGCATTTTCTGAAATACCAGACCAGTTTTTGGAAGCACATAGCAACTCAGACAATTCTTTTTTTAAATTTAAACTTATAAATCTCAATTAGGTATAATATTCTAGCTGCCTTAATTTTTTTTTGTCAAATCACTCATTATTAAGTTTGCCTTGTGCATATATTAGTAGTATTTGTCTTCTAGGAAAATTGTAGTAATGAAAAAGTGGAAATTTAGTATAGTTCTGAGTTTTCCTATAAGAAAATCTAATTTAGTTCCTAATAGAGTATATAGGATAGTCTTAAAATCGCATTGTTCAGGGAAATGGCTACTAAATGTGAAAACCAATTTTCTGTGCTATGTGATTGCAGACTGACAAAAAATAAAAAGCTTAGATGCGTTCATTGTTCTAAGTATAAAGTAAATGATATACCTAATGGCATCTGCATTGTACTTTTTGGCCTTTAACGATGGTAGGGTTACTAAATATTTTGTGCATACTATAAATTTTATTATTTCCATGGGTAAAATAAGGTCCCCTGAGGGTAATTAAGGGTAAACTTTTTTAGTTTAGTATAATTTTAATTTTTAGCAGTTTTGTCAGATCCCAAGGTTGCTGAATTAATCTTAAAATGGAATCTCTCTATTTTGCTCTTGGAACCTTTAGTTAATGATTTAATAGAAATATTTGTGGTATAGTTTATACTCATAGTTCTACCTTTATAGATGTGGAAGTTGGATTATGTCTTTCCAGGGTCACACAGGAATTTTAGACACTTGCCTTTAATCCTCAAATTGTCATTAATTTCTCCTTTTGCAGTACACTCTTTATAATCTTTTAGGTCTAACCAGCTATCACAGGTTGCAAAAAACTAACATCTATAAAAACAGGGTTACTCAAGGTAGAGGAGTCATCATTTTTCATCTCAAATATTTCTTCTTTACTTTGTGCCCCCTTTCCTCTGATAGATCTGTTAAGATATTCTTAGTTAAATCATTTTTAGGATCTCAGCTTTTACTAACTTTTCACTCAAAAAGAAAATTCATACTTAAGGTCTAAGAGTTGAGACCATTTCATTAATATGTGAAAGGATGTGTTGTTATGCGCTGAGGGGCAGGGCTAGCTAACCTCTCTTGGCACCTCCAGGAAACTACCCAGCTCTGCTGGGGGAGCTGCACACAGAAAAGGAAACAGTTACTACTCCACGGTGAGTAACCCTGTTTTCTCCTTATTTCACCTTCTGACTGTTTTCATTGATTTTTAAAAGCTTGTGTGTCAGACATGGAAATAGTTCTTATGCTCCGAGTTAATTTTAAACCTAGCAGTATGTAAGATTTCTCTTTACTTAGCAGCCTTTTGTTCACATGATAGAGTAAGAGCCAGCTTTTCATTTGTGTTTATAGCTATTATTGATCCCTAGGATTGAATTGGATAACAGAACACAGAAATAGGCCAGTTGTCTCTTGTGAAACAGTTGTAACCTTGAATGGAAGAAAAATCTACTAGTGGCTTAGTTTTGTACTTTTATGTTTGTTTTCATTTGAGAGGGGAGGGAAGATTGGGAAGGGAAGATTATTCTTTCCCTCACAGACAGGAAGAATTATTGTTTGCAGTTGTTTCATAACAATTCATCTAGCATTTGTTTGCATATTTAATTTGTAGTGTATATTTTGTTTTTGTTCTAATCATTTCTTTTTCATCATCCTTTCTTTCCCACCAGTGGTTATTTTCATAGTTCTGCTCTAATTAGATCTAAAGAAGATTGCCATCCTAGTGGTACAAATAACATAGTTGTGGAAAACTTATAGGTCTTTTTTTTTAGTGGCACAAATATTGAACACATTTTGTTGTAAATTAGGTGGCCTGGTACTATCTAGTTGCTATGAGGCTGATTGAACCTTATTATTATTGTACAAATGGTATTATTTATTGTATATTGTGTTGAAATTATTTCCCAGGATTTTATATAGTTCCTGAGGTCAAATTATATTACTGTTTGTAAAATGAACCAGTGAATGAGTAGAATGAATTTCTCTTGGGGTGGAGGAGTGATGGTATTTGATTTAAATGATGTATATTGCTGTTGTAGCTTTTAATCAAAACTTGGATCTGTAAGTGTTGATAGCACTTTAAGTCTGTTGAGCTAAGATGATGTACATAACTAAAAGTTACAAGAGCGGACTTAAGTATCAGAGAGTACAACCCGGCACAGGTAGACTTTTAATGCGGCCACAAAGAGATACAATCATGAAGTCTTACTTAGGTAATGGATAGAGATTTCTTTTAGAAAATTATTCTTCTTAAGATCAGAAGAACTATTTAGTATAAATATGTGTTTACACTTGCTGAGAAACATTTAGTGTAAAACAATCCAATTGGAGTTTAATTAATTAGATAAGAAAAGAACAGTTAAAGCTGAATCTTAGATAAATAAGCATAAAAGGAACTTGTGATGGATAAGAAATAAAGTAAAGCTGAAATGTATATCTAAACAGATGCCTCTATACACTTGAGATATGGAAGCTGTGTTTTAATTCAGGTTTTAAAAGTAAAAGCCTAACCTATTTTTATTTAAATGTACTACTTAATATTTTAAAATCTCATACAGGTTGATATATTTTAAAATAATTGTAATAAGTGATAACAGTTCTTCAAATTTTCTGATATGGAAACAATTCAGACTGACACGTGGATTTTAAAAATTAGCATCAGGGCTCTTAGATGAGACTTATTTTTAAATGTTATCACAGTATAATTAGTGTTACTAGAGTCCGAAATGCATACAAGAAAAACATTTCAAATTCTCAACTGATAGTCTTTTTTTGATAGGTTTTTTTTTTTGATACAGTAAAAATTATTCAGAATAGTTACTATAGAGATTGCTTTTTATGTTGTTTGAAGAGTAATTTTGTGACAATTAAAATGCATGCTTGGTTCAATATTATTTGGTACTAAGTACAGACTGGGTAAGGTACAATTGTATTCCTACTTTAGAAAACTACTTACGTTCACAGCAACAGCGAGGAGACATGTACTCTCATGTGATAGCTTGTGACGAGCACCTCCCCATGCTCTACCAGGGAAGGGGGGAGGGGTGACCGTCTTATGCTTTATGCTTGTTACTGTTTGAGCGCAGCACTTTTTTCTCTTTGGAGGTGAAATCTAATTTCAGTAGAGATGTATTTCCTTTGAAGTTCATTATAAAGGAATCTGATTTTATTTTTTACTGACTAGATTCTGGATACATATATATTTTACAACCGTACACAGTTTTACAGAATGCTCAGTTTGCAAGCTGTTGCCAAAGGTTGGAGCTTTATAAAATAAAAACCAGGTTTTAGGAATTTGAATTTGATCTTGAAAGTCTCTATGAAGCAAATCGGCATATTGTATTATAAAATATTACTATTCTTTGTTTATACTCTGTAGGCTTGGTTTTGAAACTTGAGATGTATTGTTGCCATCCTAGGCACTAGATTATGGCGAGGAACATAGTTAAATAATTGACATTTTAGTAATCTTAATGTTATTACTCGTTTAGATAAATCCCAGGATTTATAGCTACCAAATATTAAGGTAGAGATAACTTACTTAATTTTTTAAAAAATACAATGTAGATGGGGGTATGTTGATTTAGAAACAGTGTTGTCTGCATTACTAGTGCTGTATATAGTTCATGGGTGGTGAATAATAACCATAAAATTTATGTTTATTACTAATTGGCCCTATATTGGAAATGCTTACTCCCTATTTCCTTGGCATTTTTCCCTATGTTCATCCTCTTAGAAAGTATTGTCTCTTTGTTTATAAAAAGTTATTGAATTGAATCTCATATTTTGAAGTAAAACGTTGAAAATTAAAGTATAGTTTTCATTGAAGAAGATTTAGATTTCAGATATAAAGGTTTATATTCCCCAGTAAGATCTGTTCTTACATACCTACCTAAAAAATGATTTTTAACCATTTAATGAGTTTAGCTGGGTCTGGTTCTGGTAACATAATTCTTTATGGCAGATCTTTAGTTAGGAAATGCAGTGTTTTTACATCTGAACTTCTTCAGATGTAGTGGCATTTTACTGCAAATGGTAGGAGAGATCAGTTTGTCTCATTTAAAGAGGAAGGGTAATGATTATCTAACGAAGCTTGTCTGCTATAATATTCTAGAGTAAAATTTGTGAGTTTTGTATCTAGTTTTAAGCTTTATTATACCGTTATAAAGCAACTGACTTTTCTTCGTATAAATGTTATCAGATTTAAGCTTGTTTACCCTTGAATATCGAATATCAGTATTATGTTCATTTGGGTGGTGAATTTTACCCCCTACAGTCATTAAATTTAGTTAACATTTTCTTTAAGATGAATAATATTGTCCTTACTGAAACAGATAGCGTTAATCTTCAGAAGGATAGTAAAGAATTAAAGTATTAAAGATGGGAAATCTGTGTTTGTTAAAAGAGCATCATCTTTGTTTTGATTTAAACATTCTAGCAGTGACACTTTTCCCTTTAGTCTTTCTTATTGGTATTATTAATAAATACAAGCACTCTTGTTTTTGTACAGGGTACCAAGTATGGTGTCCTTGGACGAGACAAAGTTGTGTACGGGACTTGAATATGGTATGTGAATCCTACTCTTGAGTAAATCTGTGTGGACTATTTTTGTCAATTACTCTACAAGAGTTAATATAGAATAATTTTGTAGTTAAAATTTTTGTAGTCTTTTGTTATATATAAATGAATATTAATTACGTGATAGTTATCTTTGCATTTTCTGGAGAAACTGGAAAATTATTATAAAAGAATAGCCAGTAAAAGAAATTGGGTCAGTAAATAAATATTTGGGTGCTTTCTGTCTGCAGAGGCAGAGGCAGACTCTGATATATCATAATGTTCATTTATGTTTAGAATTGCTTTAGAACTGGTATATTATACTTGATGTGAATGGGAATAGTATAACCCTTATATATTCTATCTATCTTTATATTTTTTATCATAGTAAAATTTTATATAAATATTTATGTAGAACATATTTTATTATGTTAATTTAATGTTCTGTACCTAACAATAGGACTTGAGCACATTTCTTTGTTGCTAGATTAACACTGCAGTTAGTTCTATATGTTAATTTGCTAGGATATAATTTCTGTTTGCTTGATTTGGGTCACCCCTAACTAACTAGAGAATCCTATGCGTTTATGGTTTCTAATTAGTGAATAGTGTCTTTGAAATATTGGCAAAGATGGCTTTTTCCCTCTCCTCCTTGCCTGCTGAGTCAAGTTTTATGAGTAAGTTGTAAATGTGAAGATTTTAAAAGTTACTCTGTATCATGCCTAGCCACTAATCCAACTGTGATAAAGGCAGATCCATTTGGTTGTTTTCCTGGATTATCTCTTCTTAACATAAACTTTTAACAGTCTGGGGAGCAGTCAATGTGTTTAAAATGCCTTTTCTCATTTTTTAAAAAATAGATCTATCCAGAGAGAACCACCGAGAAGCAATTGCTAGAGTCATAAGGAAACTTCTTAGTAAGTACATATATGCATTTAACTTATTTTTATTAATAAATATTTAGGAATTTTATTCTATAGCATATGTGCTTTTACTTAACATTTTTTTATTTAAATGGTGAGAATATTAGGTAGTGTTTTTTCCTTAACTAATAGATTCTTAACTAATATATCAGTGGTCCTATAGTATTTCAAACCACTTTAACAAAAATCCTTTTTTTCCTCCTATTATAGACCACATACTTAATAATTCAGAAGATGATACCAAGTCCTTGTTTCTTATCATAAAGGTACAATTGTTATTTAATAGTTGCATAATTATTAATATGACCATGTTTGACGTGATGACTTGTAAATATAAAATTTGAAATTCTTTGACACAGATTATTGGAGACCTTTTGCAGTTCCAAGGATCTCACAAACATGAATTTGACTCCCGTTGGAAAAGCTTTAACCTAGTAAAGAAATCAATGGAAAATCGGGTCAGTATTTTCACCTAAAACTCTGAATTACTTTTTTTAAAGGCGTATAATATTGATATAACCTCCTGATTTAGCGATTGTTCAGCATAGAGAGAAAGTTTCCCTATAAGTAAAAATAGTAGATTTTAAAATATTAAATTGTGGTATAATCAAAAGAATCCTAGAAAAAAATGTATTTTCCTGATGCTAATTCTTATGTCAGTTTCCATGATAGTCTCTGAACTCTCAGTGGGAATTTGGAGTATGATAACTTGGCAGCAGCATTCAGGCTGCCTTCAGGTAAGAACCTGAAGGAGTAAAAGATAGGAATTGTCCACACGCATGACTTTAAAGCATTGCACTTTATGTAGATCTGAGAAAAATATATCTTTTATTTTATTTTGTGCTCCAGAAGTCAGTACAAGCTAATCTGGGGGCACAGAAGAAAGAATACTTACGTCAGCCATTTGATGTTCATAGCAGTGTTCTTCTATAGGAGACTTTTGTTTAAATTGAGTCTAAAAAGGTTGTATAAGTTCATTGTTTAGGCAAGGGATGCTACATATTTTAGACAGAGGGAATGGCACGTAAAAGGGCAGGAGATATACAGACATGGCATGCTTTAGGGAACAGTGGCAGAAGGTAATATAAACTAGTCATTTATAGTTTTGTCCCAAGAAAGTGTTTCAGTTTTATATTCAGCAATGGGGGAGTCATTAAAAGTTTTTAAGTAGATCTGATTTAAATATTGGAAAGATCCATATTCAAGTCTATGAATTTTGAAAAACTCTGCCACTTGTGTGAAAAATTAGTAGTAGGAGATTAAGACTGGAAGCAGGGAGGGCAGACTATTATAGTCCCAATGGAAAAATACACTCTGAATCAAGTCACTGACAGTGGGATGGAGATAAGTGTTTTGAAAAAGAAGGAATTATGGGGACTAGATGATTAATGAGATAAAGACGTGAAAGAGAAACAATCCTTGAGTTCCAGATATCTGCCTTTAGTGACAGCATGGAAGATTGAGGGTAGAGGAGAGCTGAAAAGATAATTTTTAGAAAAATAAAAGATATATTCTGTAGTAAACGTACGCAATTACCCAGAAAGGGCTATTTATAAATGTAACAGAGTCAAGCAATTTTCTTAGTAGGCGGTTTTTGTACTTTTAGTATTTGACTGAATAAGGAGCAACTTCATTGCTCTCCCATTCATGGATCCATTAATAAACTATCAGAGAAAAACAGGCTGTTGAATGAGCCATTTAAAGGGGATATTTCTACTATAAGCACAAAATTAACTGAAATAGTATATTTTACATTAAGGGATTCAGAGGAAACCGTTGTTGAGTTGTCATTTATGGAAAATGTTGATGTGTTGGCTACTTTGTTTTTCAGCTCCATGGGAAAAAACAACATATCAGAGCATTATTGATTGACAGAGTAATGTTGCAGCATGAGGTAAATATCTTTTGTAAATCATGATGACTTTTTTCCTTTTTGGTGAGGAAGATTAGCCCTGAGCTAACATCTGTGCCAATCTTCCTCTACTTTGCATGTGGGTCACCGCCTCAGCATGGCTGATGAGGCTGATGAGTGGCTGATGGTAGGTCCATGCCCGGGATCAGAACCCGCAAACCCAGACTGCTGGAGTGGAGCGTGCCAAACTTAACCACTATGCCATGGGGCTGGCCCCCATGATGACTTTTTTAAATGACTGTTTTCCAGATGAATATTTATTTGTGTAACTTCATAATTAAATAAACTTCTAGTAAAAACTTTGAGATTTGATTTACACTGTTTTTGCAGCTACGAACACTAACTGTTGAGGGTTGTGAATACAAAAAGATACATCAAGATATGATGAGAGATCTTCTGCGTTTATCTACAAGTTCGTACAGTCAGGTAAGGCTAGTCAAAACACTCTGCTCTCCCCCACTCCCGTTTTGTTACACGCAATCTAAATATCCTCGTTTTAACGAGAGTTTAAATAAATTATTGGCGGAGAAAATATCTTTCAAATTGCAAATATATTCAAGCTAATTTTGCTAGTCTTTTTTTGATGTTTATTTGTGCTGTTTGTAATTATTTCTTAAATTTCGAAAGTAATTTAATCAAAGGTGAAAGTGCTGAGTGTGATGTTGCTGCCACTTAATTAAATCACATTATGAGGGCCATATAATTGCTCCTATGCGTTATGCTTGGATTTCAGGACACTGCCACCATGTGAATTGTGGTTAAGTTGTTCTGTGTTTTGGAGAGTCTAATTTTCCTTGTATAGACGCAACAGAAAATCTGACTCGAGTTCTCATCAAAAGTAACTCAATAAAAACTTTGGTATAATCTGCTGATTATATTACTTAACAAATACATATCAGTTCCATTCAGTCTCTCCTTATCAAAAATATTTGAACCAATATAACCTAAACCATGGACGTGGTTGGTAATATGCTTTCCTTTTGATAAAAATAATTTACTCATTTTTGTTAACGCATATGCTTTAATATATTTTTCTCTTATTACAGCATTTAAACAAGCATCAGGTTTTTTTGTTTTTTTTTATTTTTATTTTTTTTGTGAGGAAGATCGGCCCTGAGCTAACATCTGCCAATCTTGCTCTTCTTTTTTTGCTGAGGAAGACTGGCCCTGCACTAACATCCATGCCCATCTTCCTCTACTTCATATGGGACGCCGCCACTGCATGGCTTGACAAGTGGTGCGTCGGTGCGTGCCAGGGATCCGAACTGGCAAACCCCAGGCCGCTGCAGTGGAGCGCACGCACTTAGCCGCTTGCGCCACCGGGCCGACCCCGGGTTTGTTTTTGATAATTCATTTTAAAAGTTTTTCTAGTTTGTCTACCATTTAATAAAAGTTCTCTGTTAATAATACTTTCTCCAGGTCAGAAATAAGGCTCAGCAAACATTTTTTGCTGCCTTGGGAGCATATAACTTCTGTTGCAGAGATATCATTCCCTTGGTTTTGGAGTTCTTACGGCCCAACAGACAAGATGTCACGCAACAGCAGTTCAAGGTATATGGTTTTTTGTTTTGTTTTACTGTGAAAATTTTCCAACATACAGAAAAATTGAAAGAATTCTACAGTATATACTTATATGTTCACCATTTAGATTCTGTGTTAATATTTTGCTATATTTGCTATCACATATCTGTCCATCTCTCCATCCATCTTATTTTTTTTATGTATTTCAAAGTAAGTTGAAGACATCAGTACACTTAACCTTTAAACAGGTTTAGTCTTTTTTCCTCCCTAATTATTTATTTATTTACCTGTGTTTATGATTGGTGTTACGGTGGAGAAAATGTAGGATGCAGTTTTCAGTTGAGTGCCAGTGAATGAGTAGCCTGGCTGGCCCTATGGGAGAGGGGGTTGGAAAACCAAAAGTTTAGAGGAGTGTGATCAGCATGAAGGAAGGCCTGAGAGAGGAAGAAGCATGGTAAGTTTGAGTAACTGAGTGAAAGCTTCTCTGATTAGATCAGAGAAGGAAGGGAATGACACAGATGAGAATACTATATCCCACAGGGATGCAATAGAGTATAAGTGAAATATACCATCAGGTAGAAATGGGTTGGTTGAAGGTGATTTAGAAGGGAGAATTGATAAGACTTGGTGGTTAAATATGAGGGGACTGAAAAAAGGTATCAAAATTATTAAGGTTCTGGATTGTACAGCTGGTTGTTTGGTACATCAGAGAGAGAGAGAACATGGAGCATAGATGATGAATTAGTTTGTTTGGACAAGTTTAATTTGAAGTGGTTCCCATAAGCTAAGAGGCATTTTCAAGTAGGCAGTTAGACATCTGAGTTTGGAGCTGAAGGATACCATTTCAGTGTGTGTTCATGATAATTCAGATCTCTGGGCATGGGTAAGAGAGCCTAGGAGAAGAGTGAGAAGAGAACAGGACCAGGGGACAAGTGTTGAGAAAACTCCATTAGAAGTCCAAGAAGATCTTACTGAGAAGGGAAAGATTAAAAAGATACCAAAACACGAGAAGGAATTATAGAAGCCAAGGAGAGATCTTTCCAGAAGGAAAAGTCAATCAGCAGTGTCATTTGCTTTCTGGAGAGAGTTAAGATGAGAACTAAACCTGTTCCTTGAAGCTTATTTGGAAGACAGGTCAACAAACTATAGCATGGGCTCATTTGCTAACTGTTTGTAAGTAAAGTTTTATTGGAACACAGCCACGTCCATTCCTTTCTGTATTGTCTGGCTGCTTTCATGCTACAATGACAGAGATGAGTAGTTGCAACAGAGACTGTATTGCCAACTATTTACTATCTGACCCTTTATAGGAAACGTTTGCTGACCCCCAATATAGCTGTAATTCATGAGTGTTGTAGAAGATGTAACTCATTGGGTGGTATGTTTTTTACCTTGTTGAGTGCAGTTTAAATGGACAATCAGGTCAAGTAAGATCAAAATTGAAAAATGTCTATAAGGTCAGTAAAATCGAGGTTACCAGTGACCTTATAAGAACCTGTAAAGAGTTGTGGAGTGCAGCGTGGATGAGAAGCCTGATTGGAATTGAGTTAGGGTGAATGTTCAGGAAATTGCAGCTATTAGTTTGGTACTAATAGCTCTTTTCATTAAAATGGGGTACCTTAAAAAGGGGTACCTATTGTCATCAGAATCATTCTGATTAATTGAATTTTCATGAGTAAAAAGTACACAGTATAATTAAGTAGTCTACTGTTTATATACCTAGGAAAATACTTGGTAACCCAATGTTAACTGCTATTTTAGAAATTATTCAAAACATTATGCCCTAACATGCTGAGTGGCGCATTTCGTGGCCTTTTTTTTTTTTTAAAGATTTTATTTAGTTATTTATTTTCCCCCGAAAGCCGCAGTGGATAGTTGTATGTCATAGCTGCACATCCTTCTAGTTGCTGTATGTGGGACGCGGCCTCAGCATGGCCGGAGAAGCGGTATGTTGATGTGCGCCCAGGATCCGAACCCAGGCCGCCAGCAGTGGAGTGCGAGCACTTAACCGCTAAGCCACAGGGCCGGCGCATCGTGGCCTTTATGATATAATTGTAGTAGAAGAGAATTGGAATGGAAGCTTTGTTCTTAAAAACAACATCCTTATTTTTCTATATTATTTAATTAGCCGTACTTTCAGCCAACCCTCTATTAAATGACTTAGAGAAAATATTACTAGATGACAATTAAATAAGTTCAAGTTTCTGAAAGTAACATGTTAAATGTGTGAACCTATTTTACTAACCAGTATCAAGCATTTAAATAATTAAAGTTTAGTAAATTTAAAAATAACGTGTAATGGGGTTGACTACAATTAAATGGTGCCTATTATTTTTCCCATATAAATCATTTTTTTCCTGCAGGGTGCCTTGTATTGTCTCCTTGGAAATCACAGTGGTGTATGCTTGGCAAACCTTCATGATTGGGACTGTATTGTACAAACTTGGCCAGCAATTGTTTCTTCTGGGCTTAGCAAAGCAATGTCCCTGGAAAAGCCATCAATAGTGAGACTGTTTGATGATCTTGCAGAAAAGATTCATCGGCAGTTTGAAACAATTGGCTTGGACTTCACAGTAAGCAAAACCATTTTTTTATTCAAATTTTAGTGGAAATACTGCCTTGTTAAAATGCTTTTTATATTTCTGTTTTCGGTAATAATATTCTTGGTATTTGATTCCAATTTTTTTTTTTTAAAGCATTTGTTTCTGTTTCCTTTTTGTACTTTGGTGATGATTACTGTGGATAGCAGGGTAGAGTAGGAAATTGGAGTGTGGCCAGGAGAGAGGGAGGTTGTTTTCTGTCAAGAGGCCAGAGAGAGTTATTACATTGTTGCCTTTACCATTATCCCGTGTTATGTCCGTGGCCTCATTTTTCAACGAGTTGATTATATTTTAGGAGTTCACTCATACTAGCCAAAGTCACAAAAGATTGACCACAGGGTTCAAAATCTATAGTGAAGCAAATTAAAATTGGATGATTTGGCAAATGAAAAAGTAAAGAATATCAGGTTCAGTGGTGCTTAAATGGAAAGATGGAGCAGATCATCTAAGAATTTTCAAATGCATATTTACACACCCATCGGAATGGGGATAGGTAAAAGATGTGGGTGCAGTTGAAGCCCCCTCTTCTCTAAAGTGATTATGTTTGACATCTATCCTCTGGTTTAAAAACTACTGCTCTAAAAATGTATTCCTTTTCTATAAAACATAGTCTTGCTATTCGCAACTGTCATGAGATTATGCTTTCTTTTTAAAAAAAAAATTAAAAATTGAGATGTAATTCACATACCAAAAAATTCACCCTTTTAATGTTGTGTGCTTATATATTCACGGTAGTCAATAGTATATTCACAGGGTTGTGCACCCATCACTACTCTAATTCCAGAACATTTTTATCACTCAAAAATAAACCCTGTACCCAGTAACAGCACCCATTCCCTCATACTCCTAGCCCCTGGAAACCACTAATCTACTTTCTTTCTCTGTGAATTTGCCTGTTATAGACATTTCATATAAATGGAATCATACGGGCCGGCCCCGTGGCTTGGTGGTTAAGTGAGCGCGCTCCACTGCTGGCGGCCCGGGTTCGGATCCCGGGCTCGCACCGACGCGCTGCTTGTCCGGCCATGCTGAGGCCGCGTCCCACATACAGCAACTAGAAGGATGTGCAGCTATGACACACAGCTATCTACTGGGGCTTTGGGGGAAAAAATAAATAAATAAAATCTTTAAAAAAAAAAAAAATGGAATCATACAATATGCGGCCTTTTGTGTGTGGCTTCTTTCACTGAGCATAATGTTGTCAAGATTCATCCATGTTGTAGTATGTGTCAGCACTTCATTTTTTCCCCTGGCTTTTCTTTTTAATAAGATTCCAAAGTCATGTGTTGGAACAGCAGAATTACTTCAACAATCAAAAAACCCCTCTACAAACCAGGTAATGCTTAGCTCAGAGGAAATTAAAGAAGGACTTAAACGCCAACAAGAAAAGAATGCTGATGCCCTAAGGTAATTATGAATGCCTGCTTGTCAAGATGGGTAACGTTATAGATAGTAGGTTTAAAATATCTCTAAAATATAGATGCACCATAACTACCTAATGAAATTTACACATTGATTCTGAAAAAATACAAAAATCTTAGGAGATAATTATTGTTCGGATGCTATGGAATTGGAAAATACCATCTTAAAGTTATCTTAATATCATGTCTTTTTTTCAATGTGAATTCTCTTTGTTTTTTTTTTAGTACACATATCAGTGATTAAATCCTGAATTCAAGTTCAACACATGTATCTCTTCATAGCTCTTAGAATAATTACTTTTTGATCAAATTTATGCAGATTTGGTATCAGGATATTTGTAAACTCTTTTTACATTTTTGGAACCAAAGCACATCAGGGGTTCAGTAATAACACTCAAGCAAGCAGGAGCCTTCCTCATTTGATTTTGTCTTTGCCTTATGAATGTACTTATGAATTTTTTTCTAACATGTCTGTAGAAATAATAAACTCTTATTATAGCCTACTTCATGTATACCTGGAGTGCCATATAAGGAGACCACTCTTAACTAATTGATTACTACTCATAAATTTACTTTTGAATGTCCGCTTGGGAATAGTTGAGTTGCTCAATGTACTTAGCACTTTTTTTTTGTTTTCTCTCTGCTTTTCATGGTCTTTTCCCAGTGTCGCTGTTCACCCGTCTGCTTTCACTCTGGCTGGCTTCTCACCAGGTCCTTTACAGTCTGGTGATGAGAAGTCAAGAGAGGGTGAATCTGGCCAGAATTTGAATTTATATTATGTTATTTGATGTTCATCTTAGTGTTGTATTAAAGCAATACCTCACCTTAATTTTTTTTTTCTTAAGGAACTATGAAAATTTGGTAAACAGTTTGTTAGATGGTGTGGAGCAGAGAAATCTGTAAGTGCAAAATTTTTTTTAGTTCTTGAGGCTTTTATCTTAAAATAAAATAAAATTTCTACTATTATAGGCCATGAATGAATGTGTCACAAAAAATTGTAGTCTGATTCGTGAATTTAGAAGACCAAGAGGAGAAGTTTGGGGCTAATGATAGGAGCAGTGTTCTTCAATATACCTATTTTAATTCTTGGGAAACTTAAAATTAATGTTTCAAATAGAGTGTTTTTTTTTTTTTTAAGTGGTTTTATGAGTGATATGTTTTGTGATTTTGTTTGTTTGTTTGTTTGTTCCTCTCCTTTTCAGGCCCTGGAAATTTGAACATATAGGCATTGGGCTTCTGTCTCTACTCTTGAGAGATGACCGAGTGTTACCTCTTCGTGCCATACGTTTTTTTGTTGAGAATCTCAACCATGATGCAATTGTAGTTCGAAAGGTAGATACCTTATTTTAGCTACAATCTTGGGTTAAAGAATTTTTACCTCACGCAAAGCCTTTAAATTCTTCACAAACAAGACACACTTAATAAATATGTTGAATTGTATTGATTTCAAATCTACGTCTCTTGGTTCAGAGGTGATAATAATTCATCCAACAAATACATGATGTGCTCAGGCACTGCATTTCAACCCTGGGGATATAGCAGGGAATAAGTTGATAGGTTAGTGGAAGAGACTGACTTTGAAAAATTACTTATAGGTATGAAGTGTTACAGGAAGGGGAAGATATCTGAGGATGTAACTTTTTGTTTTACTCACAAAGTATTAGAGGTAGGGTGCAAGATGGGACTGACCTAGCCTAGTACATTGGAGAAAACCCTTAGGGAGAAATGGTTAGGCTGAGATTTGAAGAATGAGCAGGTATTGGTTTAACAGAGAAAGGATCCAAGTTTTCTAGGCAGAGACTAGCATGGATGAAGGTTCAAGAATCAGAATTGTGAATGACTCATTCCAAGTCAGATTTAGCACTCATGTGGCCGTGCCACCAGATGTCAATGGGTGAGGTGTGTCTCTACTTTTGAAAGAAACAGAATCTAGCTTCTGCTTTGACCAAGGCATGCAACCATTTAAGAGATTTAAACTTTGTTATATGTACCTTACCTGTTTCTTTTCTAGATGGCGATCTCAGCTGTTGCTGGTATTCTTAAACAGCTAAAAAGAACCCACAAAAAGCTGACCATCAACCCCTATGAAATCAGTAAGTACTGCCAAATGTAATTTATAGCGGTTCTCAGTCAAACTGGAAAATTTCTTTGAGGTGTATAAATTATAGTTCTTGATCTCAAATATTTTTCGATACAAAGTATAGAAAGATTTTAATACAAAGTATGAAATAATAGAAAGGGAAGACAGTTGACTTAGTAAAAATGAGTGATAAAAAGTATTTATAAAAATAGATTGACCTTTTATGTCTTCATAATACATGTACCTCTTGCACACTCTGAGCAAACATGTCATCTACTGCTTTTTTGTCTCACCAACTAAGCAATTATACTAGTTATTTATCAAACTGTAATTCAAAGGCTTAAAATATTATTACCATTAATACATCACTATGTAAAATGTTTCTCTCTGGGGGCCTGCCCAGTGGTGTAGCGGTTAAGTTTGCGTACTCCGCTTCAGAGGCCTGGGGTTCACAGGTTCGGATCATGGGCGTGGACCTACGTACCACTTATCAAAGCCATGCTGCGTCCATATGAAGTAGAGGAAGATGGGCACAGATGTTAGCCCAGGACCAATCTTCCTCAGCAAAAAAGAAGAGGATTGGCAACGGATGTTAGCAGGGCTAATCTTCCTCAAAAAAAAAGTTTCTTTCTGGGTGGTAGAATTAGGGGCAAGGTTAATTTTCTTCTTTATTACCTTACTGTATCAGAGTTTTTAAACAGTAATCTTATATAAACAGAAAAAAAAAATAATTTAATTTTGGAGGAAAAAATATCATTTTTATTCCTTTGGCTACCAAATTTTTTATCTCTGATAACTCGTGTGATATTTAAATAGCTGTCTTCAGTTCTCCCCCACCCCCACCTTTGGGTGGGGCGCATAGCTATGTACCACCGTCTTTATTTTAGAACACTATAAAATGGTGTCAACTAAATGTAGGAAAGACTTTCCTTATACTCCCTACTACTAATCTTGTTTTACCCTCACTTGAAACACATGTTTGTAGGTCTCATATTAAATGAATATTTAATGGTTCCAAAAAACAAGTATGTGCACATGCATGTGTCTGGAGAGAGTGTCAAAGTACACATGGCAAAATGTTAAAATTTGGGGCATCTGGGTGAAGAATATATGGGAATTCTTTGAGCTCTGTAAGTCTGAAATTAATTCAAACCTAGAAAGTTTTGACAAAATTAGTCTTTTTAATTTTGGTGAAAGGAATGAAGTGTGGATCATGCTTGATTTTCTCCCCACAAATAACTGTCCCAACGCCATTAGTGGATAATCCCATCTTTTTCCCTCTGGTATGAAATGCCTCATAATATATGTTGTCTTGCCTTGAGCGCATTTTTTTTTTTTTTTTTGTGAGGAAGATCAGCCCTGAGCTAACATCCGTGCCCATCCTCCTCTTTTTGCTGAGAAAGACCAGCCCTGAGCTAACATCTATTGCCAATCCTCCTCCTTTTTTTTTTTTCCCCCCCTTTTTCTCCCCAAAGCCCCAATAGAGAGTTGTATGTTATAGTCGGAAATCCTGCTAGTTGCTATATGTGGGACGCCACCTTGGCATGGCCCGACAAGCAATGCATCAGTGTGCGCCCGGGATCTGAACCCGGGCCGCCAGTAGCGGAGGAGTGCATTTTAATAGACTCCTATTATGACGACAAAGCCACACTAGTACTATTGAGTGAAAGTTGAGAATAATTATTGCATGGATATTTTTAAGTTCATCAAATGTAATTGTCTTTTCCTTAGGTGGATATCCTAAACCCACCCAAATTCTTGCTGGTGATAGGCCTGATAATCATTGGTTGCATTATGATAGCAAAAGTATACCAAGAACTAAAAAAGAATGGGAATCAAGTTATTTTGTGGAAAAAACTCACTGGGGATACTACACCTGGCCACGGTAAGTTGCACCTTGCCATGCACCCAGTTTATCTTTGATATAATTTGTTGTATCATCTTTGGATTTCTGGGGAGGTTCAGAGGCACTTGAAGCAGTTAGAGGTACTCTGCCACCAAAGATACACAATCTCCAGCTTGTTTCCTTTTCCCTCTTCTTTTTATTTTGCTCTTGGCAGTGCTATGCTTCAATCCTGCCTCTCTCCTTGTCTTTCTGCTGAAACCCTTAGACTTCCTCAGTCCCACTATTATATGTCTCAGGAGTTTGTTAATAGTGGCTCTGAATTATATTCCTACCCATTAAATACTACACATGCCTAAACCTGCCCAGAGAAATACTTATTTATCTCTTATTGTTGACCCCAATAATTTATATTATTAGGATACAAAGGTCTGATAGATTTTTTTTTTTTTTTTAAAGATTTTATTTATTCAGTTTTTTCCCCCCAAAGCCCCAGTAGATAGTTGTATGTCATAGGTTCACATCCTTCTAGTTGCTGTACGTGGGACTCGGCCTCACGTTGGACGGAGAAGTGGTGCCTCGGGGCGCTCCCGGGATCCGAACCCGGGCCGCCAGCATCAGAGCGCGCACACTTAACCGCCAAGCCACGGAGCCGGCCCTGATAGATTTTTAAGACCGAGACTGTTAGTAATGTACTTGTATCCCCAAACTTAGCGTCTAATTAGAGTTCATTAAAAGTGCCTTCTAATGCTTTCTATCCATGAAACTCATATGTTTTTCTGTGTGTGTTCCACATATGAACTCTTCCTGTGTAGGAATATGGTTGTTTATGCTGGTGTGGAAGAGCAGCCTAAGCTCGGCAGAAGCAGGGCGGATCTGACAGAGGTAAGCACGCCGTTTCCACCACGCGTGCACACTTACCCTGCGTCTTGTAGCCACTGATTTATTCCAAACTCAGTTCATGGTTTTTTTCCAAATTCACGTATTAGGGTATATATAGCACGGGGTAAATCTTGGTGAATGTGTACTCCCTTACTCCTCTCCCCCTGTCCTGCCTCCCCCCATTCTGTTAGGGCCAGTCAGCATGAGTCTTTTTGTGTCTAAGGTTACTTTCAAGTTACCACCCCACTTAGCACTCACTGGGGTACTGCTTTATGTAGTTATCTGCTTGTTTCTTATATCAGTTCTGTCTGCTTAACAAGCTTCTTGAAGACAAAGATAATGACTGGCTTTTAGTTTGGTTTTTTTTTTGTTTGTTTGTGAGGAGATCAGCCCTGTGCTAACATCCACCAATCCTCCTCTTTTTTTTTTTTTTGTGGAGGAAGATGGCCCTGGGCTAACATCCGTGCCCATCCTCCTCCACTTTATATGGGACGCCGCCACAGCATGGCTTGCCAAAGCAGTGCGTCGGTGTGCGCCCGGGATCCGAACCAGCGAACCCCGGGCCGCCGCAGCGGAGCGCGCGCACCCAACCGCTTGCGCCACCGGGCCGGCCCCCGGCTTTTAGTTTTTTATTGCACATAAGTGATGGGTACTCAATAAATAGATGTTTGTAGATTAAAGTGTAAACTCAATCTGTCTAGAAGCTATTTCTTTATCATTTTGAAAGTTAACTAAGGACTTTTAAGTTTATGTCTTCCTCAATTAAGTTAATGGTGTTGTAGCTTTTATTTTCTAATTCTGAACAGAGTTTCCCTTTCAACTTCTGATGTTTTATAAATACGGAAATAATTTGCTGAGGTTTGGTTTACAATTTAGAGGATTTTCCTAAATTGCACACAAGGTGGCACGATAGCATTATCTTCATTTCCCAAGCAGAATATTTGTTGGTTTTAATTCACAGTTTGAGCAATGGAATCCTAACTTGAAGATCTGAAGGAAAACTTTTAGCTATTCTTATGGATTTCGCATTTTTAGGAGACAGTGTTATTTTGGTTCTAGAAAGCCTCGATGAGAACTAAAGGTTCTGTAGAATAAAAATAACAACCTACTATTGAGTATTGAAACTTTACAGTTGAATTTTAATGTTTTCAGAATCATGTTTTTAAGTAGAATTTAAACCCTGAATGTTGTTCTTTTTTTTTACCTTTATAGGCAGAACAGATTATATTTGATCATTTTTCTGATCCTAAATTTGTGGAACAGTTAATTACTTTTCTATCTTTAGAAGACAGAAAAGGAAAAGATAAATTTAATCCTCGACGTTTTTGCCTCTTTAAGGTAACTATGTTATATAAATACCTTCTTCATAAAGCTTAGTGACAGTCACTTTGTAGGTTCATAAATTTTAAAGTATTTCATCAAAGTTTGAGTTTTGTCATCTGCTGTCTTAATCTGAAATGGCCCTAGAAGTTGCACTAATCATATTGATCTTGTCCTAGGGTCTAGGACTCGTATTAAAAAAAGCTTTTTAGTATTTGTCTTTAATATTTGTAGTTAATAGTAGAAGCAAGAAAACCCCACAAGATTATATGCATTTGATGTTTTGATTTTTTTTTTTGAGGTGTGTGTGATATTTTTAAGGTCAGAAAGATTATTAATTTTGATTTCATTGATTATATTTTAATGTGATATGCAAAATGATGGTATTCTTACCATTTTAACTTACAGACATTGTTAAAGCAGTTAAGTTCTGAAGGGGAGAATACTTGGAGTTTTTTCAGCACTGTAGTAACGTAATGAACAAATGCAAGCATATTGTAACTATAATGGAGATGATAATCATTTGAGTACTAAAGAACTTTCTTTTTGATTTGATAGGGTATATTCAGAAATTTTGATGATGCCTTTCTGCCAGTTCTGAAGCCCCATTTAGAACGTTTGGTTGCAGATTCACATGAAAGCACTCAGCGATGTGTAGCAGAAATTATAGCTGGTTTAATCAGAGGCTCTAAGCATTGGACATTTGAAAAGGTGATGTATTTGTACAGCACATTCCCTGTTCAAGCTACATTATCCATTTATGTAGCAATTCCCAGCACACTGGGTAGTAATACTTAATATATGAAATGTTCAATTCCATATTGCTTTTGAGTATAGATCACAAACTAGTGGTCTGTAGATGACATTCAGTATCTTTTAAAATTTGAATTATTTGCCCCCATTAGGGAAAAAATCAGGATAGGTCATGTAAAAAAGATTACAGTTTCTTTTGAAAAATGGGAAGATCCTGGAACACTGGTCCCACGTTATTGCGCTGCGTCAGTTGGCTGGTGCTGCGCCTGGGCTTCTCCGTTCATCAGGCACTCTCTCTTCTCATTGAATCCTTTCTCTTAGCCTCCTCGCTCATCTTCATTACTCATTTGGTCTTGTAGGCAGTTTGAGTTTGACACCCTTTTATCGAGTATCCCTCTTGTTAATTGTAGGGTTTAGTGTTATATACCTGCACTAAGGTTAGTTTCTTAGCAAAATGCTCTAGACTGAAAATAACCTGCTAAAATGTCCAGAATGCCTGAATATAAGATTGGCTACCATTTCCTCAAAGAAAAGATGCAAATATTATTTTTGTCAAACATAATTACACGTAATTTTAGGAGGACTGTGGACACTTTTTAATATATTAATTTAGTTATATATATTCAAATCACTTATTAAATAAAAGTATCTTAATTTGCAATATTGCCTGTTTCCTGCTCACATATCATGAAACAATTTTATTTAAACATGTCACACGTATCCTTGTCATCCTGTCTGTCATTTTTGAGTTTCTCTTTTCTAGAATACATCTCCTTTCCTCATAAGTTGTTTAAGATAAAGCTTTTTTTCTTCTTCGTCTTCTTTTTAATCAATGCCTGGTGCTATCGCTGGAAATTTTATCCCAAGCCCTCCCTCCCCATTTGTCCTATATAGGTCCTTTTGACTAAAGTACAGTCCATGGACCTGCAGCATGGGCATCACTTGGGAGCTTGTTAGAAAAGTAGGATCTCAGGTCCCACCTTGATCTAATGAATCAGAATCTGCATTTTATCAAGATCTCAAGGTGATTTGTGTTCTCATTAAACTGTGAGAAGCATCCTTACACATGTATTTGCAGTCTCTGTATAACTGAACACTTTTTAAAGGCTATAATCATCCAGAACTTGGAATTTGAAGATTATACTTCAGGCTAATACTAAATTGTATTAAAATGTTATTGCTTCCTATATTAGGATTCAGTCAAGTGGCCTCAATAAGCATTGCAAAACTTAGAAATGATTCAAGTTTTGTTTCAGCCCAGTGTAGTATGTTACTCAAAAAAAATTTTTTTTTTTTAAAGATTTTATTTATGTTTTTCCCACCAAAGCCCCAGTAGATAATTGTATGTCATAGCTGCACATCCTTCTAGTTGCTGTATGTGGGACGTGGCCTCAGCATGGCCAGAGAAGCAGTGCCTCGGTGCACACCCGGGATCTGAACCCGGGCCGCCAGCAGCGGAGCACGCGCACCTAACCTCTAAGCCACGGGGCCGGCCCTCAAAATTTTTAAAAGAGAACTTTTCAGTAGTATGAGAGATTTTGTAAGGCCATATAAGGTGTTTCCTCTTTTCTGAGTAATGTTTTTGGAAAAAAAATTCACCTATACCTGGGTGTGTATAATGATAATATAGTGAAGTTACTTCCTGGATTATTGGGGCATTCTAAGACATAATTTAAATGAGGTACCAGTTTGTGTATTTGTATGTGTGTGTTTCTAGGAGAAGATAGTTGAAGAAAAATGTTCTGAGTACCATTAACTTTTCCCCCTGTATTTTGTTTTGAGTAGGTAGAGAAGCTTTGGGAGCTTCTGTGTCCTCTGCTTAGAACCGCATTGTCCAACATTACGGTAGAAACTTACAATGACTGGGGAACTTGTATAGCAACATCCTGTGTAAGTTCTCCCACTTCCTTTTCTGTCTAACTCGTCTATTCAAGCAGTTTCCTGCTCCTCTTAATAACTCTTGAATCTTGAAATTTGGTTCATAGTTTTGTCATCTTACATAATGAGAGATGGTTCTATTTAGCCTTTCAGATAAGCCTTGAGGGATAACTCTTAAGTGATTATTATATTTTCTCTGCCATGGTAATGCATTTTTAGGTTGAATGACAAGTCAAATCATATGTCTGGAAATGTGACTTAAATATAGTAAAAGCCACATGATACAAGGTTATAGGTGTTATTTTTGATACTAAATATGGCCATAGCTTGTATGCTTTGGTTTAAATAGACAGTCGATTTAGCTAACAACAGTTTTCTAACTGTTAGTTTTTCTAACATGAGCTATGATAATACATTTGGATTTGACTCACCTATGATTTTAGTTTGATTTTTTTCCTATATACTTATGTTTATTTATAATATTTCTAAAATAATGAGATCTGATTTATTTACAGAATTGTAGGACCCCTATTTTAATTGTTACTTTATATTTTCAACACAGGAAAGTAGAGATCCCCGGAAACTTCATTGGCTTTTTGAGCTGTTGTTGGAATCACCATTGAGTGGTGAAGGAGGATCCTTTGTAGATGCATGGTAAATAAAAAGAAAACTAATGAGGTCAACAGAAGATTTTACAACAAAACATAACATCTTTATTTTTGATGTATGATGGAAGTGAACTGTCTGTACTCCTAAAGGCTAGATAATGTAACTGCTTTCTTCTGGGAGATGGTGTGATCCAAGTCAATACAACATATGATACTACATAGAGTTATTTCTCAATTGGGAACAGTAGGAGAAATGGAGGCAACCTGGGCAATTCATACATAAGTTAGGTTCAGCCTTCTCTGCTGTCAAATCTTTTGTACCAGGACTGCTTTTTTGTACCATGACAATATTAACTTCTTTATTACATCTTCTCCTATTTCACTCTTTCCTACTAGGAAAGAAGAGAGTAATCCTTTTAAGGGAAAATATACTTGGTAGGGCATAAGGAGCTGGAAAAAAATTTGTGGGCAAGAGAAAGAAATCTAGATAATCCCGTTAACAAGAAAAACAATTATTATTCTTAATTAGTGAGGAAACTTCTGATACTTAAGAAATTTATTCAATAAGTATTCTAAAGTTAGTATTTCTTTTGATTGTATAGTAGTAGAGGTGAAATGAGAATACAGAGAAAATGATTTAGGAAAAATAATAAAATCTTCATAAAGGAGCTATTTTGAATTGTTAGTTTTATTATTTATTAGGTGAGAAAATGAAACAATTTTAAGTGGAATACAGACATCATTAATCTATACCGTGAATGTATAAAGGCAGAGAGGGGCTGTAGCACAACTCTCCTGTGCTTTAATTTTAGTCGACTCTACGTACTACAAGGTGGCCTTGCCCAGCAAGAGTGGAGAGTGCCTGAGCTACTGCACAGACTACTGAAGTACTTGGAACCCAAACTCACCCAGGTTTACAAAAATGTCAGGGAAAGAATAGGAAGGTAGGTATAATTTTCTCTGTGGTATGGTACAGCTCTTGAATTCTTTTTGTTAAATCTTAATATCTAATAATACATACTGGTTATATTACTATTGAGTTTCATGGTGTCCTCCTCTTCAAATGTTGTTTTATATTTTGTGTGAGACACTAGACAAGAGGCTCTGAATGTAAAATAGGACAGCAGTGTGCTCATAAGCCAGAGGTGAGCAGTCACTACAGCCCAGTTTTATTTTGTTTTTTGGTGAGGAAGATTGGCCCTGAGCTAACATCTGTGCCAGTCTTCATCTATTTTGTGTGTGGGTTGCCGCCACAGCACGGCTTGATGAGTGGTATAGGTCCACGCCTGAGCTCTGAATCCGTGATCCCAAGGCTGCTGTAGCAGAGCCTGTCGAACTTAACCACTACGCCACTGGGCTGGCCCCCAGAGCCCAGTTTTTAATACCTTAGAATTACAGGCACAGGCACCAGAGACTCTCTCTAGGAATTGTCTTGGGAAGATTTACTTTGGTTGGGTCATAACTTTTGAACTTTAGTTTTATTGATAATGTAGGATCTCTTCTTACTATACATGTTTTATTTTACAGCGTGCTGACCTACATATTCATGATAGATGTTTCTTTGCCAAACACTGCGCCAACGGCGTCCCCTTGTGTCCCTGAGTTTACTGCTCGAATTCTAGAGAAATTGAAACCCCTCATGGATGTGGATGAAGAAATTCAGAACCATGTTATGGAAGAAAATGGAATTGGTGAAGAAGATGAACGAACTCAAGGCATTAAACTCTTAAAAACTAGTGAGTAGCTAAAATGAGTAGAAACTCACCTAAAAACGGACATTTATTTGGATTGTGTGGTTGGCTTTTTTCTCCTATATTTTTTATTGTGGTAAAATGTACATAATATAAAATTTACAGTTCACTGGCATCAAATACATCCATTGTGCAACATTCACCATCATCCATCTTCACTACTCTTTTCATTTTACAAAACTGAAACTCTGTACTTATTAAACAATAACTCTTCGTTCTCCCCTTCTGCCAGCCCCTAGCAACCACCATTCTACTTTCTATCTCTGAATTTGCCTATCCTAGGTACCTCGTATAAGTGGAATCATACTATTTGTCCTTTTATGTCTGGCTTTTTTCACTTTGCATAGTGTTTTCAATGTTTATTCATTCATCTGTCGATGGACATTTAGATTGTTTATACCTTTTGGCTCTTGTGAGTAATACTAATATGAGCATTGATGTAGAAGTGGCTAAGTCCCTGTTTTCAATTCTTTTGGGTATTGAAAGTGGAATTGCTAGACCATATGGTAATTCTGTGTTTAACTTTTTGAGGCGCCACCAAGCTATTTTCCACAGTGGCTGCACAATTTTACATTCCACCCAGCAGTGCAAAAGGGTTTCAGTTTTTCCACATCCGTGCCAACACCTGTTGTTGGTTTTTATGACTATAGCTATCCTAATGGGTGTGAAGAAGGTATCTTGTGGTTTTGATTTGTGTTTCCCTAATCATTAATGGTTGAACATCTTTTCATTTACTTTTTTACCATTTTTGTGTCTTCTTTGGAGAAATGTCTGTTCAAGTCCTTTGCCCATTTTTGAATTAGGTTGTTTTGTTGTTGTTGAGTTGTAGTTCTTTATATACTCTGGATATCAATCTCTTACTGATATATGATTTGCAAATATATTCTCCCATTCCATGGGTTGTCTTTTTACTGTCTTGATAGTGTCTTTTGCACAAAAGTTTTTAATTTTGATGAAGTCTAATTTATCTGGTTTTTTTTCATTGCCTTTGCCTTTGGTGTCACATCCAAGAAATCATTGCTTCAAATCCAGCATCATGAAGTTTTTCCCATAAGTTTTTTTCTGAGAGTTTTATAGTTTTAGCTCTTATGTTTAGGTCTTTAATCCACTCTGAGTTAATTTTTGTGTATGGTGTAAGATAGGGATCCAGCTTCATTCTTTTGTTCGTGGATATCCAGTTTCCCAGCACCGTTTGTTAGAAAGACTGCCATTTCTTCATTGAATAGTCTTGGCACTCTTGTTAAAAATTAATAGGCCATGTATGTGAGGGTTTATTTCTGGGCTCTCTAGTCTATTGCGTTGGTCTGTATGTCTGTCCTTATGTCATTACCACACTGTTTTGATTACTGTAGCTTTGTAGTAAGTTTTGAAATCTAGAAGTATGAGTCCTCCAACTCTGTTCTTTTTCAAAACTGTCTTGGTTATTGGAGGTGTCCTATTGTTTTTATATCTAAAAATTCTTCAAGGATTCTAAGTACAAACAACTAACTTTGTTATCACTTTTGCTACTTACGGATTATTGAAGGCTAGTTTTAATTGTACTTAGTGTAGGTATTTGGTAGACTGTTAATAATTTGCTGATTCATTCTTTGAGAGTGGCTTCAGTACCCTAGATTGGTTGACACCCTTTATTGTGGGTCCTGTCATACTGCTGATTTGTATTTAATTTATTTATGGAGTAACATAGATGATTTCTTTCTTAACATTGAAGAGTGATCAGAGTGGCTGTCTGACACTAGCATTACTTTATTATTCTACTTTGTGGTCACTGCCTGGATAGCAAAGACTGATTCTGCATGCTTGTTTCCAAATAGTATTGAAATGGCTTATGGCGAGTGCGGGAAGATCCTTCTCTACAGCAGTCAAAGAACAACTTCAGCTTCTACCTTTGTTTTTTAAGGTAAGTTTATGGCTGAAATTAAGAATGCATCCCCTTCTGACCTTCAAAAGGAATTTTGTTTATCATCTGATGGTTGGTAGGTTTTCAGACGTTGTATGATTTGGTTGGATCTCTAAGAAGTAGAATACTCACAGGAAAATCATGAAGTGATAGGGGTTTAATATTTGTTAAAATATCTTTCTAATGTTAAGTAAGACTAGGATTTTGGCAGATACATGAAAAGAGTACAGACAGAACATTGTTTCATGGATAGCCAATTTCCAAGTAATAATTTAAGAAAACACTGATAGCCAAAAGAAAAGCCACAATGAAATGTTTAAATATAGCTATTTCTGACTTTTTTATTCAATGTGTAATAAATCTGAAGATCAAAATGTTCAGTATATTGTATTTATTTTATAATGTTAAATGGCACTGTAGTTGATTCTAACAAATAGCTGTAGGCAGTAACTTATCTCTGATAATCATATAATGACACTGAAATTTTATTTGATAAAAAGGTATAACCTGAGGTGGTTTTAATTACTCATCTAGTCGGAGGGTGAAGCTAATAAAACTAAAGTCACAGATTGATATATTAGTTTCCAAAATTATAGTTTGCAATCATACTATGGTTGGCTGTTGTTAGGAAACCAGTGTAGTCTCATTGTACATTTGGAAGGCTTGGCACAAAACATCACCACTACTTGACAATTATTGGTCAGTACAATTATTATCATTTAAGAAGGAGGCCCCATGGGGACAGCCTGGTGGCATAGTGGTTAAGTTCATGCGCTCTGCTTCAGCGGTCTGGGGCTCGCAGGTTCAGATCCCAGGTGCCGACCTACACACCACTTATCAAGCCATGCTCCGGCAGGCGTCCCGTATATAAAAGTAGAGGAAGATGGGCACAGATGTTAGCCCAGGGCCAATCTTTCTCAGCAAAAAGAGGAGGATTGGCAACAGATGTTGGCTCAGGGCCAATCTCCCTCACCACCACCACCCCCTCCCCCAAGAAGGAGGGCCCTTATTATTGATTAGCAAATGGCATGCTAAACTTTTGATTTGTTTCAGTATACTTTGCCCTTAGGAAATTTCAAAAAGATAACACTACTAGTAAGTTTCAAAGGATTCACTACTAAATACTTTTAAGAATGCTGTGTGGGGCCTGATACCCATGGATACCTCTGAGATCTTTCGGGATGTAAAGTGAACAGTAGCTGTTAATGTATAGGTCCTTTTTACTTTGTAGGTCCTTGGTGTAGATAGGGTTTGTCTTTAGGGCAGTAGTGCTTAAAATCTTTTCTGCTGCCACATGCAGTGGATACACAATGTGATCTCATGTTCATAAATGGGTAATGTGCAATGAATGTTGGGATAGCTGCAATTCCACTCCTTTTCTTTCACTCAAAAAAAAAAGTTCAGAAAGCAAATATATGAGAGTGAAATTTATAGAAGGGATGATTTGAATCCACTTGAAATTTATGAACAACGTAAATCATTAGAAAGCTGTGTTGCGTAAGTTGCTAGTGACAGGCCTAACATTTCACCTAAATAGACAAATACTGAGGTTGAGAGTGTACTTTAAGGCCACGACGGTGAACGGGGTGTGGAGTACAAAGGCACTGCAACACAGATGAACACAGTTACTTTGCAGACAGATCAGATGTGTAGAGTGAGGAGAAAGAGAGGTGTCTAAAAGAAAGTTGTTGTTTACTAACCTCTAGGAGGAGCACAGAAATAGTGGGAGATGAGATGAGAAATTCCATTTTGAACATATTTGAGATGCTTATTAGATTTTAAATGAAGTATTATTTATTTATCCTATACCATAAAAAGCAATTTTATGTCAATCCAAAAAAAAACCTTGAAATATTTATCAAAGTGAAAGTTTCAGTTATTTGTGTGTTCTAGTCTAAGAGTCTCCATATTACTCAAGGTTAAGGGAAGAGGATTTCCAACCCAGAATAGTTTTCAGAGCACTGGCTTTGGAGTAAATAGAGACCGAGTTTAAAATCCTGTCTGTGACAGGTGCTTGTTTTGTAACCTTGCACAGCTGCTGAACTTCAAAGACTGTCTCTATGTGTAAAGTGTGGGATGTTATCAGTATCCCTCACAGAGTTGTAACAAGGATGAAATGAGATAATGCCTGTAAAGCAGGGGGCACAGTGTGAAATATGCACCTTAATTATTTTTGTTACTAGTCTTTAACTGAATTTTAATTTGGACTATCAAGAGCTCAAATGGTGGTGATCAGGGAGAGAGGGGGGACGTGTTTTATCCTGAGTTTCAAACTTCACTAAATGCTCATCAGAACTCACCACTGTAGAATAATAGTTTTGCATATGTCAAACTTAGAGAAAAATTTGCAGATGTTGTGATAATTTTTACAAGGTTACATGCTGTGGATGGCATTTCTTCAGAAAAATTATTTTTCTCAATAATTAGAGGAGAGGAAGACCCTGTAAAATATTTCCATTGCTAACTAAATGAGCAGCTTTCTACAAGTTAACAGTTTAATGCCCCGCCTTGTCAAAAAGAAAAAAAAGAATTTTAAAAGAGGGTGAGAGGAATTTATAGCTTCTTTTTAAATTTTTTTTTATAGAATCTTTCAAATTTGAGAGATATACCAACCAGATGCAGTGTGTGGTCATTTTGTTGAACCAGATTCCAAAAAACCATTTGTAATAACAACACATGTATGAAATTATTGGGGAAATTTGAGCACTACTGAATATTTTATATTTTAACTGTAATGAATTTTTATGTGTGCTGTCATTAAAGATTTTTTTAAGAGATTTTACCTTTTAGGGATACATAATAAAATATTATGGATGAAATATGTCTGAGATTTGCTTCAAATAATTTAATTGGGGGAGGGGGAACCAAGGAGGAAGCAAAAAACGAAAGGATTATGAGTTTGTCACTGTTGAAGAGGTGATTGGTTCATGAGGATTCATTATACTATTCTGTAATTTTGTATATGTTTGAAATTTTCCAGAGAAATTGTTAAAAGTAAAAATGTGATCTCTTTCATGTAAGGATGCCTTTGTACTTCCTGGCTATTATTTTTCAATTCATGTCTTTGGTTTGTTTTATTGCTCTCCAGATTGCCCCAGTGGAAAATGACAATAGCTACGATGAACTGAAAAGAGATGCAAAGTTATGTTTATCGCTAATGTCTCAGGGGTTGCTTTACCCTCATCAAGTGCCTTTGGTACTTCAGGTGCTAAAACAAGTAAGAGTGTATAACAAGTATTTTTATCTTTTGGTTAGATTTTTTGTTTACCATTCTGAGAATTTCAGAGTCAACTGCAGGGCACAGGATACCTGATATTTATTTTCATTTTGAATTTTCTTTTAGTTTGGGAGAAGATATATGTTGACCAAAGAAACAGACCCAGATTCTGTACCTGGTTCTGCCACCAAATTCTGTGACCTTGGGCAGGTCACTCAACCCTCAGATTTTCTTTATACACAAAGAGCTGATTATGGAACCACCTTGGATACAGAGGGCTTATGAGGGAGGAGGATGGTCATTCCTTTTTAACATTTCCCCTTTATTTTATTTATTTCCTGACCTGTGGTAGAAAGACCAAGTGATTGTGTATTTTCTGGCTGTGGTTTTAGTATACTATGTGCTCAGCTTTATTCAGGTCATGTGTGTGTTATGTAATATAAAAAAATGGACATGTTCCCATGGTTTTCAGATGTTTAAGTTTGATTATCACTGAAAAATATTTTGAACAACCCAAAATGTTATTTTTTTTTGTAGTGGAATTTAGTAGTTCTCAATCTTGTGTGCTTTCAGTACCCAACCTGCTACTATCAAAAGTAAAATGAAATAATGTGTATTTCAAGGAGTTAGAATCATTAATTATAAATAATTCTCTCTTTTAAATAGACTTTTGTCTGTGTTCCTTTCCCTTACTCTCAACCATTCATACGTTCTGAATAACTCTCCCTGAAATAGCTTGTGCAACCTTTTGTATAGAAGGAAATAGAAAACACACTTGCTCTAACTATACCTATAAAAGTAGAATTATGTTAGAATATTGTGTCATTTGTGTGTAATTTCACTGTCTGTCATCTCATGTTCTTGTCAGCACTGTTTTCATTGTTTCTACTTATGTCTCATTCACAGACAGCAAGAAGCAGTTCTTGGCATGCTAGATACACAGTATTGACCTACCTCCAGACCATGGTATTTTATAACCTCTTTGTTTTCCTAAACAACGAAGATGCAGTTAAAGACATCAGGTGGCTGGTTATAAGTCTTTTGGAGGATGAACAGCTAGAGGTAAAATTTAAGTTATAACAAATCAAAATTTAATAAATTTAAAGAAAGCATCATGGCTCCCCTTTTAAGAAGTATTCACACACTGATGAGAGGTATTTTATTAAAGCGTAAATTTTGAAAGTAACTTTAATTTTAATACAGCCCTCTGTGATTAGATTTGATCCTCTAATCATGGTTTCCTATAGTACAAATGGAAACAAACACTGGGCATATCCTCATTCTGGCTTCTCTTTGCAGTTGGGCAGATAATATTTGCGAACCAAAGTTTTCTTATCTATGAAATTGCAGGTGATAATACCCTACTTATCTTACTGATTTTTAAAGGGCTAATAGGAATGTGCATGAAGACAGTTAAAAGAGAATGAAAATCTACACATAGATGCTATTTATCCAGTAGTCTTAAGATTCTTGTTTCTTTTTTTATTTTCCTTGGTAGAGAAATTAAAGGCAACTTGTGTGAGGTTATGTTAATATTTTTACAAAAAGATAAATCTATTATTTCAGATAGCCTAATGTGTGAAAAGCATGTTGTAATAAATATGGAATAAGATAGAACTTTCTAAATTGGCCTTAGGTAAAGAGAACGTAACTGAGATTTTTGTTATATTTTGTGGACCTGATGGGTTTTCCATGTCATAGAGCACTCCCAGTAATTATAGATTTTATTTGAGAGCACTGAAAATAGATTGTATCCATAGGAAACTGGGAATGGAAATTTTTCCTCCTCCCTAATGAACCTATTCATTTTGTAATCTAGCTTTCTCGTGGTTGGGAGCAGATATTGTCTATTTCCTAGGGTACTCACACAGTGCTTATAACAACTCCAACAGGCTTCAATTAAAATATTTACAGCTATCTAGAAATTTTTTTCAACTAAAGGAGTGGAAATGGAAAGATGGAAATCTTGAAAGTCAGTGTTTCCTAACTTTATTATAGCAATCACATTAAAATTTACTCTTTTCTGGACCTTGTTTTAGAACATTTTTATAGATTATTTTAATTTTCTTCCATGTGCTAGGCTCAAACGTAGCTGTTAATATAAATATAACCATGACATTTATTAAAACTACTGTATCATTTTTTAAACACGTGATGCTGAATATTGGTATAATTAACTATAGCTATTGATGACATTGAAAAAAACTGTAATAATCTAAATGAGAAATATTTAAAGAAAACTTCATTAGATTTAAAGAAAAATTTTTAGAAATGATGGGAAATAGTATGTTTATGGATAAAAAGGCTAAATTCTAGTCACCTTATAAAATTGATTAGAGACATGTACAGATTGACCCTTGGAACAAAATATCCCAAAACTAGACCCTACTAATGGGAAAGAGAATAATTCAGTTGGAAGTGTTCGAGTAATTTGTTAGCAGTTTGAAGAAAAAGAAAAATCAATTAGAACATCTCACACTAAAATATCTTCCAGATATAGTAAATAAATACACTCCCCCCTTCTTTTAATTAGAGAAAGTAGGAGAAATGAATTTGGATATTTATATGAATTTCAAGCAGAGATGACTTTAAAAGCCTTTAAGTTAATAGATGTGACAAATCTGACTACAAGAATATTAGAAACTCATCAATTTAAATGATCAAGCTTCAAACTAGAGAAAAACATTGTAGCATAAGAAAATCGTTAAGACCTTGTGGAGTAGGTAGTGATGGTGGTATAACATATGTATAGATGAAAACAACACAAGCAATCAGCAGTGAAAAGTCAAACCCCTCCTAATGATCAGAGAACTGCAAACTTAAAACAATGAGACATTTTTCACCTACTCTGAATTTAGTGTTCTCTCCACCCTCAAACAAAAATGTATGATGATGATAACCAGTGTTGGTAAGATATAACTAGTACTGCACATTAGTTTTGTGTCATAGTATGTTAGCACTGGCTCTTTGAAAAGCAACTGATAGCCAAATTAACAGTGAAATTGTTCATACATTGAAATTTAATAGTCCCGATTCTTAGAATCTATCCTAAGAAAATATATTGTAATATGGAAAAATTATATAAATTAATAATATTTTGTAGCATACTAGTGAGAAGTTGAAAGCATTCTAATCAGTAGTTGAGTATAAAAATAAATTGTGGTATGAAAGGAAATAATGCAACCAAATATGAAGTGGTAAAATGTATTTCATATAATAGTGTAATGAAAGGAGCAAGGAAAATGTTAAGTACCCAAAAACTGTCACAAGGAAAAATTTAAGGAAAAACTTTTTGAAGGAATACATAGTAAAACATGTGTTTTTTGGAGGTTTTTTCCAAATTATTATGGCCTATCTTTGTGAATATTTGGAACAAATTTTTGTGAATTATATGAGATGATAACTCTTTATTGCTTTTTTTGTCTTCCCAAAACTTGAGTTCCCGTTCCACTTTCATTTGGTACTTCTATAAACCGTGTTTATAGCCTGACAATAGCCTGTGAAATTCATAAAAAGTAAGCTGGATATAAATCTCTATGGTATATGCCGGTTGTAGAAATTGGTTGTCCATTTTATCTTTGTTACCAGCAAAAACAACAGCAGCAGTAGTTTTAGGAGTTGTAGAGTCTAGGAAAAATTTCTTTTAATGTCAGGCTCTGGCACTGCTTTTACAGTTGTAGCCCTTATAAGGAGAACTATCAGTCAGTGGGAAAATAATTTATAGAGAACTTTAATTTTGTATAAAAGAGTTAAGCATTTACTTTCTGTAACTCTAATATAGTGGCTTTCATCCATTTTGAGGCCACAGACCCTTTGAGAATCTGATGAAATCTCTATTAAGGAACTGCAAAAGGGCATTTACACAATTAATTGGCATACAAATGTCAGGGAAAGTCCCCACCCCAGATCCCATACCACCCTCCTAGCCTCCATCATTCCACCAGGCTTAGGATCTCAGCTCTAACAGAAGTGATTATCTCTACAGGTTCGAGAAATGGCTGCTACCACCTTAAGTGGGTTGCTGCAGTGTAACTTCCTTACCATGGACAGTCCTATGCAGATTCATTTTGAGCAACTTTGCAAAACAAAACTACCGAAGAAAAGAAAGCGAGACCCTGGTTCCTTAGGAGATACGATTCCTTCTGCAGGTAACAATGCTGGTAGAAAACACGCTTATCCTTTTGGGAATTAACCAGGCTTACTCAGTGAATCCTTTCATGTGCGTGGGTCTGTACTAGGTACTGGGAATAGTTGTCCCTGCGCATATAGAAGGCAAGACCTGGAATGTGAAAGCTAAAATTGAGATAGATACAGAGGAACCTGTACACTGCTGCATATAACTATTATAGTAAATCAAGTCTGTACCTACCCACCTGAAATCGCCTTATAAAGAGAGGTATCCAGAATTAGTTATTTTGGAGGGTCTAAAATACCTGTTTTTAGAATTTATAAACTTATGTGTAGATGTGCTAAGAGAAAAAACTAAGCAAACGAAAGAAACAAGCCTTGCTTTTATTTGGAGAGGGGAATATTGAGTACTTCACTAGGTATTTGGTGAGAGAGTGAGAAGAGCCTTACTCTACAGGAGCTTCCACTCTCATTGAGCATAAAGATAAGAGAGTAAGATCTGACCGCTATGTCATGTTTAAAGAGAAATTTAAATGTGATTGCAAAGAAGCATCTGATCTTGCCACTGCTAACTACAGTCACAAGAATACTGGAAAATACACAGAAAGGTCATTAGTCAGCAGGAAGCTTACTGAATTTGCAGGAAGTGCTTGGAATATGAAGCTCTTAAGTGCTGATTATAGTAGGGTCTTAATTATGTTATATAGTTACCTCATAGCAATTTCCAATAAAATACCAATGCATATTCTCATTTCTTTGCTTGAGAACTGTATTTTTTAATAATTAAGTACCAAAGCAGTTTAAGTCTTAGTTATACCAAATTGCATTGTTTACAATTCTGACTACTACAAATTCCTTTATT